TCATGCATGTTTTGTTTTTGAATGTTGACTGTCCAACATGCAAAGTAATTTTGATTTTAAGAGTAAAAATACTTTAATGACTCAGAAAACTGTCAAATTTCATTTGCAAAATTTCTATAACCTCCAGATAATTATCAAACAATTTTTTAGAAAAACTATGTTTTCTGTGTTCTTTTCAGTATTGTATCTCTGTATGGGTTTGGTTGATTTGACTGACCTCGTAACCACCATAAAAATTAGGAAATAGATATAAATTTCATTTTTTAAATTCTACAATGACTACAGATTATTACACTAAACCACAAATGTTTAGTCTAAATAGCATAAATCTCATAGCTTTATACATCTATCCATCTATATATCTATTTAATATTCTTATTTTATTCACCTTTCAGCTGTGTCTAACATTACAGAAGTTGCAATGATGCTGTGCACATGCACTCATGTTACCGTATCCAGAAGTATAAACTAACCTTTACAAAGTAACCTGTCTTAGCTTTCTTTAGTGGACCAGTATTTTATAAAATAGTCACATTTCAGTTAAAATACAATACATATGTATGTATGTATATATATATATATATATATATATATATATATATTATTACAATTTACAAACAAGTTCTTAAGTTTCAGTTATTTTTCTCAAAACATAGAACAATAAATAAAGAAACATAGAAAACAATGATCTCTACTACTTACAAATGTAAAGAAGTTTTTACTCATTTGCTGTACCTTGCATGCTAAACCTTACCAAATTTTGCACGTGAAGGATGTAAAACAAAATAACTTTTTTAAGGTTTTATATATGTGTTTTGAAATAACAAAAAAATTTAAAGTAACTCTACCAATATCACAGAACTCCACTGTAGTTTATCAGACTTACTAACTAAACTGTATTTGGGTCTAAAAAATATTGTTTTTCAAACACCATTTTCACTTACCCCTTCCTTTCTTTCGAGATTGGAGACGAAAGAAATAATCTTGGGAAATTAACCACCTTCCAGAGGCTGAGAAAACCACATGGGGGGAATTGTGAGCTTTTGAGTGTTTGTAAACACATGACAGAATGAAGTGGGTGTATGTACACAAGTATTTCCAAAAATGGAAAAGTTTGCAGGGCCACTATGTTTGATTCATTAAATATAGTGATATTTCAGCAAATAGAAAAAATAGGAGGTTCTTATTTCATATTCTAGTTTGTAAGTATCAATAATTTGAGTTTCTGTTTTGTAAGAAACTATAGACTTTGTACTTGGACATCATGAACCTCTAATTTGAATCAAAGCTGCATTCAACATACCACGTGACACACAAATATTGGTGCTACTATAGCATGCGGTCTACAAAGATATTTACGTTATAGTGTGTGGTCAACAGAGGTACTGTCATTATCACCATTTTAATGATTCACTAAAACATGATTTCTTGCTAAATGACTTGTATCTATCCATATTTTTGTTCAGCAAATAATAATAATTTAATAAGTTGTGTGTTCCAAAAGAGTACCTTAAATTTAGGTTATAATTGTGCTAGTTTTGATTGTTGGAACTTGTTTTGTTCTGATTATATTTGCCCTCAAAACATTATATAATGGTATTTTGTAGTTTATTAGTTTAAAAGTATTATGTATAATAACTGGCACCAATTGCAAGTAAACAAAAGTTAAAACGGTGATGTTGATAGTATCTGTGTAGACTGCGCGCTATAGTGTAAATATCTTTGTAGACCACACGCTATCGTATCACCCAAAAATCAACATTTAAGAATTTTCTTTTAATATTTTCTTTTAAATTAACTAATGTATAATACTAAAATTTGAATTATAATCTACAATTTTATACCAAACTTATTGTCATACATTCATAAAATAGCAGTTCAATAAAACTTTTAATGTAAGTCTACAAACGTGATGACATGCCCTCTGACTCCTTACCATAGCAATAGGGTTAACGGAATTCTTTAAAAAACACACTGATAAGTAGCATGCTCCAAGTAAATTCCACTAATAAGTCATATTATTATATCTATTCTGCTTATTACTCAAGACAGAAGATGTTTGAAATTTTATTAATAGCAGTTGGAATTTCAGACATACTGAGTTTTGCAAGTTATCCATACATAACACTTTCAAAGGTTATAGTTTTTAATATATGTTGCTTTCCTTTACAGTACAACCCAAAGATTCGGGTGTCAGCTGTTGAAGCTATGCGGCATTCTTACTTTGAAAGCTTGGGGCCAGGAATTCATAAGCTACCTAACAGTAAGTTTATTAGATGCATTATAAAATGTCTTATTATTTCATAAAATGTTTAAATGGTAAAAACCACTTGAAGCTCAATTTGTCTATTTCTGGTGTGTCAAGATAATATATAACTAATTCTTTTTGTATGTGTGTGTTTCGCTTGTTTTTTTTTTTTTTCATTTAATCATTGTCATGAAATAAGCCAATCAAATGTATCAGTTCTATCTTTTTCTAAACAGAAACCTGTATATATATTTGTGGTTATCCAATTATACCTTACTTCGGGTAACATTTGCACCAGGAAATCTAAATTTTTAATCTTAAAAGTCAAACATTTTGAAAAAGTATTTTAGACATTAAAAATTATATCATTTGTTTTTATTTCTTTCAGCTACTTCCATTTTCACGTTACCTGGAATACAGCTAAGCCGAGATCTTGGTAGTAAAACCGTACCATTCCTTAGTTCAAGTATGTTAATATCCTTACTGTGTAATGACATCTATCCATATATTAAAATGGATATATTGATTCCAGTATGTTTACATTTTTATAAACTGATTTCTGAAAGTAATCGTGTTTAACCATTCAAAATGATGTAATTTCATACTTGAAAGACCATTTTTAGCTTGAAGAGAAATTTTGGTTTTACTTAGTTAGCTTTGTCATTAATACTTTAGTTCAATTAAAAAAGGGAATTTATTTTATTTTATGGTAATAAAAATACTTGTGATTTCGTAATCAAGCCACAGATGAGTTTGATATTGAAAAAATATAACCTAGCTCTGTGTCTCATAACTTGGTAGAGGCTAACTTACATGTAAGTGATTGAAGCTCTTTTTTTTTCTCATACTAGGTCGCAATCGAAGACAGAGTATGCTGCTATAATGGTAGAGAATTGATTAATAAGAAGGTGTCACCAAAGATAAGGTCCATAAGCCTATTGGCAGCTACTAAGGTCAAGCTATAGGATACATATCTATGGATTCATCAATTCTTCTGAAACGAATTTGTTCATTTCTTGTTTTGTCCAATTGTTGTTGAGTAAGAAGAGAGATGAAAAGTGATATATATAAACAAATGTATGTGAATATATGCCAAATCTTGAGTACTGATGTCTGTGCAATAGCCTGCTCCTGATTCTTGATTTTCTGAAAGATATTCAGAAGTATTGATTTTAGAAGTCACTTTAGGATTGTTTATATATAGTTTTAAGGTAAAAGAGTTTAGTCCTCTCTACTAATCTTTATAACAGCATTGTTTTTGAAAATACTTTTGTATAGTGCATACTGGCTTAGGTCCTGTTGTCATTATTTTTTATGTATACAGTTCATTTCAGTGATTTTAGAATTTCCCAACTTTTCATTTATTCTGTTGATGAAACAATTTAAAATAATCATCGGAAGGACATAATACTATGTTTAATAAGTTAAAAAAAGTGAATTAACTTTTATCTTTTTTTTTTCAAATATTTATTTAAATAAAAATCTATTAATGTATTGCTTTAACATTATAAATATTACAGTTGACCGACAAGGTTGTAAGTTTCCATAAAACATTACAGTACTTTTACCAATGGAAATTTCAAGGGCTCATTTTTCTTTTTCACTCTATAAATAGTTTATCAAAAAAAGAAAAGGAGCCCTAGTTTTGTTAATATCTAGTTTAAAATCTTAACTTCTTAATAACTCCATTTGAGATAGCTGAAGGTATTAAATGTGCACATTTAATTATATCTTCTTTTTTTTTAATAGTGTTCCTCATCACTTCAGAATCCAAATAGTCCCTCATTTTATTGTTTGTATGTTAATCTTTTGTGCTAAATTTGATGTTTGTTATTGTGATTTAGAAAGCAAAAAGCTGTGGCTCTTACAAAACATTGATACTTAAAAAATAAGGGAATAGGCAAACAGAAGTATTGTTGTAAGCTATAAACTGAATCATCTGAATGTAAGAGATTAGCCCATTGACTGTGGCTGCTCTAAATACAGTGCAGAATTTTTTTCAAGCCATACACCGTATATAACACACTAGCATTCATCTGCTGAAGGCAGACCATACCCTATAAGGTGAATCAGCAGTCAGTGGGTTAACTAGATAAGTCTTTTCTTGGTTTAATATGAATTTCAGTTAAAAAATAAGAGGTAGTTATTCTCAACTTCAAGAAATAACCAAATCATTATGTATTAAATGGTATTTAAAAAATTATTGGAGTCAACTTGTTTTGTTTATTTTTTATTAATAAGAACATTGGTTTAAGGTATTTTTCAAAATAAATCACAAAAAGAATGTACGTATCATAGGGTTGTTTACAACAAATGCAAAATTACTTTCCTGCATTCTGAAAGTCAGAATTTCAACAGTTTGTTTTTGTAAGATGTGTAATTTTTTAAGTGTTGATGTCATTATTTGTAGTACATATTTTTGTAGGAACTTCATGTTTCCAGTATTTTTTGTACAATCCCTGAATGTTTTCTCACTTTGTTTCTAGTGTTCTGATGTGTAGAGTGCCTTTGCTTGGATTTTTACTAGATTTATTGTTTGTTTCTTTCAAAATCACATTTTACTTTTTTATTGTAGCTTAATTGCACCAAAAACTATACAGGTTTTTCAACCTTATATTTATTAACATTGCAGTCACACTGTTCTGAAGAACATAATTTATGGTCACTGCTGACTAGCTTCTATAAACCATTTGTGGTCACTGCTGACTAACTTCTATGATCACTTTGTAGCCACCTTTATGGTCATTATTGACTCTCCTTCTGTAAAAAACACAATCATGTTACTTCAAGCGTATTTTAGGCAGTGTTGTTGTAGTATAGATTTGGCTTTGACGGGCTGCACCTTCCTGTTTTTTGGGTAGGGTGATGTTTCAACTTCTATACTGAAACATTTGAGTAAAACAAGGACTCAGCATAGAAGTTAGAACATTGTCTTAAAGCTGGATTTCTACTATGATCATATTACATTCAGTTACTAATTTGTAGTTTTTCATAATTGTAGCTATTGTTTTATTACAAAGTTAATATATTCAGGGAGTGTAATTGAAAAAAAAAAAAACTAATTGTAGAACTGTGATATGGCTTAGTGCGGTCACATTGTGCACTGGAACTTACCTACTCCAACATTAACCTGCTCAAAAATATTTAAAAAGTAAACTTGGCTGAATGATGTCTTTGTTTTTATCTGAGTTATTCTTCAAACAAGTGTCTGTTCATGTATATTTTGGTTTGATGTTGTGATTGGTGAGTCATGTAGGGAAGTGGTGTACAGTGGTTGGTTGGTTAGTTCATTTATGGACGTAGTGTACCGTGATTGGTCAGTTTAAGCATGGAAGTAGTGTTATGTAGTTGTTTATCCTATTTTTAAACACTAATATTAAAAAGAAATCTGTAAAAGAAATTTCTTCAGCTATGTATTCTTTGAGCAAGATCTTTGTACCCTTTTGTGCTGTTTTACAGGTTTTTTATGGTAGATTTAACAATATAGTATTAGCATTTTTGTATAAAATAACATATTATCAAATGCGAAATTGTTTGTTCTGTGTCTTTAGCTGTAACAAGTGATATTTTGTTGTTCTGGATGACATTTCATTGGGGAGGGAGTGTTATGCTATGGTCAAAAGAAATGTATTTCTTGAGCTGCTTGAACAATCATTTGTTAAAATATCAGATATCCAACTTCCAAGTAGTAAGATAACTAATTGGCTGTTGCTTAAACAAAAATCATTACCTCAGTGATGAAATATAAAATTTAAATAAACTCGAATACTTTGCAATAACAAACCAGTTGAAAGAGGGAGCATAGTTTGAATTTGTAAGAGATTTGTACACTGGGTAATGTTTTATAATGTAAATTACAAACTAATGTGGATACTTTTCTTTCATTCTAATACTTGTGTTTGTTTAAAAAAATCATTGAAATGTGTTTTACTGAATGATTTGAGAGCAGCCTGTTATTTTGTTTTATAATACCTGCCATAGTTTTTAAATTTGATTATAAATATACGATATTGTAAGCTTGTGTTTAAAGATTAATTTGCAATATTAATTCTGAGCTCGGACATTTTACAAGTAAGTTAACATAATTAAATACTGATAATTTATTGTGTAATTTAAGAGGAAAACTAACAAATGGAAAATAAATCATATAAAAGACTTTTAGGTCAATTCCTCTTTTCCTTCTACAAGCTTCGACAAATGTTTTACAAGTAGTTTTTCTAGTGATAATTAGCTGTTGCTAATGGGGTGTTGGAGATATAGATGCTGAAACAGAGTTCATTTTTTTCTTTCTTTCACCTTGGATTTTAGAGTTATCATGAGTTTAATGCATTCCATAGCCACACTTGCAGTAGCTAGCTTTGTTATTCTGTGTGCAGCTCATCATGTATAGATTATTTTTCAGAAGTAAACTTCACTTTGCAATTGTGAATTGTTCCAAGTTGTATTTTATTACATAGCTCAGCATGAAGAAGATAAACACGTTTATTGTGTTTAATTTTTTTCAAGATTTAAGAACACTGAAATAACTTTATTCTCATTCCAATCTCTAAATGTCCAATATCAAAACAATAACTGAAAATGACAAGAAATGAATAACTTTACAGGTTTATAAAATATGTAATAAACCTTATCATAAGTGTGTGTGTGTATGTATATACACATAGGTACTTTAAAAGAATTTACAGCAGTGCATGAAAGGTTATGGACATGAATAAATTTAGTCATTTTTATTCTCGGATGTTGTTTGTGAAGTGATGTAATTTTTTTATGCTCATGAGAGATTATTAGGTTACCACTTGTGACACCACAGTTAAATTCCTATAGGGTTCTACTGTTCAGTGTTACGTTTGAAATTTTGGTTTACACGGAATTCAAAAAGACTAATAATATAACTGTAAATGTCGAGGTTTTTAATAATTAAACAAGAAAAAAACTGTAAAATATAGAATCTTTTCATGACTAGATTTGCAAATGCTGATCTAATATTGTTAACAGCAAGGGTACCCAACTGATGAAACAATGCATTCTAATGTTTATAAATAGAAAAGTATACTTAATTAGCTATACTGATTGCCAGATTGATTTTTAGTTTAGCTCCAAATATACAGCATACTCTGATCAGAAGTTAATATCAAGTCATAGCATTAAAAGGTGAAGCCACTCTAGCTCTAAACCTAGGTAGACTGTTATGAGTGTAAAAATGGGTGTTAGACACATAAGTTAGTTACGTATTCTGTATAATTGTAGAAAATAGATCTCCCAGTCTCATTTTAGCATAAAACCGATTTACAATAATCTAAGTTTTTTTATTGAATGCCTACAGGGATTCTATTAAATAATATAGATATGTTAGGGACCCTTGTTCCTGTTCATAACTTTTTAAATGATGACAGCACTATTCTATAGTAAAATGTATGGAAACAAATAAAAACTTTTTTATTTGGATTCTTGTGTAAACTTACTGGAAGCCATATAGGTGCACTGACCTGGATTTGAATTCCCTTAATTCTTTTTAAGATACAACTAAAAAAAAAAGCTACCAGTTAAGGCCTGTTGATCTGACATACAGCTCTTAATGATTTGTTTTTTTAGGTGCAGCTTAATTACTAAGCTATCTGTAAGTAATTAAACGTTTTTGTAACAAAGTGTATTTAAATAAACTGAAGAAAATTTAGTGTCGTAAGCATGATGTCAATCACATTTTAGACGTTGTGGGAAAAGCCATTTGTAAATGTATTTTAAGCCTAATGGGTGTAAAAACCGATGATTATCAAGTCTATCTTAGTTCTTGTAATTGTTGGCATGGTACAAATGAATAATTGATATAAATCAGTTATTTCAACACCCAAAATGCCATTTTCATCACATTATTAAACTCTACAATACTTTGTGACCTTTCTTAAACTTTTTTTTTGGTTTGGGGAGTTTTTAGTTTAACATCATCTCATTTTGCTGTGCCTGTCAACCTTCTCCACACTTTCCTATCTTCTAACCATCAAGTAGGTTATTTGATACCATCTATACTAAACACATACCAAATTTGTTAATAATTACATTGGACAATATGTGATACAATAAAGAGAAATGTAGCAAGATGAACATAAAGACTAAGGAAAAGAAACTATTGTGTGTGTTTACCATAATTGGATGAAGAGTGGTGGTGATGCTAAACTCATTCAGAACTAAAGTTGCTGTTATCAAGACCGTAATGAAAAAGATGAAGGATTGATACTAGTAACTGTGTAAAGAGAAATAATAAAAATTAAAATAATAATTATTTAAAAATTAACATAATAATTATTTAAAAAATAAAATAATATTATTTATTATAAATAATAAAAAATAAACTGTGTAAAGAGAAATAACTGAATAATACAGAAAAGTCATTATGGACTTGTGAGGATTCAGGATAACAGATAAGGGACTAGCAGTAGAGTCGTGTACAAGATATTGGGAGGATGCATACTCCTCTAGACCCATTTATTTTAAAAAACTCCATAACTGGGAAAAAAAAAAGTCAAGAGGATGAGTAGATTTGTTCGTGATGTATAATAGGAAGATGAAGAGTTGAGCTGCAGTCATTTATACTCCACATGCCATGAGACTGTAGCAAGCTACATATGAAGGTAGAAAATAAGCCAAGATGTGTAAATCTTGACCTCTGTACTATATACTGTCACGGAAGTCTTTGACTATCCTTCCTTTTGGTCATATGTCCATATCACAATGGGATGGTAATCATTTTCAGCTTGGTATAGGTGAATGTACTAGATAAGTGGTAACAAAAACCACAAGTATTTACATAATATTGTAAAACCTGTAAAAAAATTCTTGGTTTAAGTATACACCTGGAAAAAAGTTAAGCACCCTCAAATATTTTTCAGGATTGCTTA